CATATTAGCCAGATTTAGCCACAGATGCCTCTCCGTGGCCACCAGGGCTGCCATAGAGCGGCCGACTGATCTGGCCGTCTCCTTGGTGGCACGGAGAGAAATATCTGCCGCCTGACGCAGTATCTCATTAATCACGTCAGTGCCGACGACCTCCCCCTCACTCATATCTCCTAGACCCAGCAATATTAGCATACATAGAGGTCTGGTGTGTCAAAATTCTAGCTGACACTGGTTTGTTCCACGATCTACACACCTCGGTGTGTAGATCGGGGAAGAAGGGCAAACACCGCATGGAGGTAGTGAGTGTGATATTAAAAAATCTCTCATCCATTTTACTCTCTCGACTCTTGTTTCTCAACTGGCCATTCAATGGTTAATTTTTCCAACAGCCCGAGTCAAAAACCTCCATTTTTTTTTTCTTTTCTTTTCTTTTTTTTTTTTTTTACTACATTAGCGGGAGACTGGGATGGCAAACGAGCTTCCTCGCTCTCCACTGAGTCCATAGACTCTGCATCCACACTTTCAACATCCAGCTCCTCAGAACTGGATAATTGAAGTGATGGCGCCTCAGCCCGGCAGGAAAACCGCAACGCGGACCCCCGCAGCGAGAACTGAGGCACTGGATCTACCAGGTAAGGGCAGAGAAAGGGCGGGGCCCGTCTCAATCCCCGCTGATAGATTCATCTGCGATCCCCACGACGCAAGCCTTCGCTGTGCCTCGGCAGCAGCGGGACCCGAGCCGCGGGGAGCGCGCACCGAACCACTCTCCTCGAAGAGTGCCCGGCGGGAGCGAAGTGTCTTCATGGGCAGACACTCGCAGTGCTCACAGCCGGCCCCCTCGAGAGCCGACTGAGCATGCTGCACTCCCAAACAAACAACACACAGATCGTGTGTATCCCCACCCGTGATGAAGCGAGGGCAGGGATGAACACACTTTCTGAAATTCTGCTGTTGTTTGCTCGCCATATCAATATATATAAATATACAATATTAGACAGACAGACAAAATTCATACATAGAGCGCTTGTGAAGACTCAGAAGCTGTTGCGCTTGTGTTTCGGGGATGCTTTATAGTTTCCTGGTCGATACGTCACCCCGCCTATGACGTTCCGTCTCGCCATTGGACAGATTTCATACGTGCTTCATGACTCGTCACGCAGAGGCGTTCCCACGGCGTTTACACGCAGCTCGAAGTTCCCTGAATGGGAACAGAACATTTTTCGGTCATAAATGATCGAAAAGCACCAGAGGGTAAAGACAAGGAAAATCATGAGTTAAAAGGTTAGTTCACCCAAAGGGTATATACAGTATTCCTTCAGTTAAATTTACTACTTTTTAATACCTTTTTTACTACCTTCAAATATTTTTTAAAACCATCATAACACTGAATTAAGTGTTAATCAGCAGCAACCTTTCTATTATTTATAACATATAAAAAGGAATGCGTGCTCTAAATCTATTCATTTTTGTGTGTAGTGGATTGCAGTGACCAAAGTGCATTAGCTCCCATCCAGTTGACATTGATGTTTTTTTTACACACCAAACAATAGAGGGAATGCATTGACATCACTTTCCCGTCAGAACAACCCCCCTCAGCCCGACTGAGTGGCAAAAGATCTGCTGCGTGGCTGCAGATTTAAATTTATATTTAAAGTTTTTACTGCAAATGTCGAAACTGTGCGCTCTTTGGTCCATCAGTGCTTGAGTCACCGTATATCGGAAAACATTTGGAATGGGTCAGACATAATTCTGACCAAGGGCGTAACTTTGGGTCTACCATTGGGGGGGTTAAACTCGCGCCATATTTATTAATTTATTTATTTATTGAATAATTTTCTTTTGTAAATGGTAACATGCTAATTTGCCGTTCCTGTATTAGAAATACATTGTGATATACTTTTATTCCCCACTTCTGAGGTAGGAAAGGGTTCCGAGCCCCACCTGTCCCCAATCAACCCAACAAAATGTTAAGAAACTAGGCTTTAAGTTTAACTGTTAAAATGTATTTTATTAACATCACATTGTAAAAACTTCATTTGATTATTGAATTAGTTTGTTTATATTAAGTTTGTCATGTGAATTAGAGTTTCTGTAACCTGAACTTCTTTACTCATTATTTGAACTTGAGTATTGATGCTTTGTAAAAGTGGGATAAAGAAAAGGGTCAGGTAAGATATCATGTGACATACATTGTGCATATGTAGTATTTTTCTTTGTTTAAACACACTAGATTTAGGGACAAGTGCCACCATTGTATTTTTGTTTTGGTTAGTTAGAGTAGGGAAGGATACGAAGTCGCGGACGTCGAAGATCTTTCCTTTCTACATTTTATTTTTGATTAGTTAGGTTAGATTAAAAACGGGTAAGAAAGATTGTTTTCTTTTTATTAATTTCTTTGAGTTGGCACTGTCCAGTTGCCCTTTTCCTTTCCCAGAATTAATATATACAGTAATTTGCTGGTATGTTTATGTTACTTTATTGATTGGTTAATCTTTGTTTGAATTGTTTCTTCATAAACATATGTGTGATGTACATATATTTTATGGAGAGCTCTTTTGACCGGTCGTGGCCAGCAATAAAAACCTTAACCATTCGACTGCCCTTGTTTCACTCACTTCCTAGTGTTTCTTTGATAATTGTCGAGGGATGAATAATGTTCCCCTTCTAAATCCCTAGACAGCTAAAATCTACGAAGGGTCGTAACAGTCTACTTTTTGAAAGGGTCTCAGTCTCTCTGCCCACTGATTTATTTAGTTGGAATTGAGTCAGCTAAAGTGTTAATGTAGTAAAATAATTAATGAACAAAACAAAAAACAAACAAACAAAAAATACAATTATTAAACCTTATATAATTAAACCCTCCTTTAAATGTTCTTATTCATTTATGAAAGAAATAGACTCGTTCAGTGTAGACAATCACTAATTTAGTCATTTCGCATGGGATTTTTTTTGTTGTTGTAAAAAACACCACATGATGGCAGAGCTTATAGATTCCCTTATCCAAGAGAGAGTGAAGTAGTACAAAATATTTCTGTCTAGATATGTAATAAATATTTTGCAAAGGAAAATTTCTAATTATAGTTCATTATAGATACAGTAAGACTTGTTCAAACTCACTTGTTCACAGCTCATCTTCTACTGCTCTAGGCAAAGTCAAGTATGTTTCAAATCAGTGCTTCTCCCGGGAGACTATCTTATCGCCATCGACTGTTTTAGAAGAGGAAGTTGCTCAACTGCATTTATGAGAAAATCTAGCTTAGATCTCTCATAAAAAGCCAAGTGTCTCACAATCATAATAGACAGATATGTATTTGTATGCACTAGATTTGGTATTTGTTCAAAGGTTACATGCAATGGTTTGTATTGATTTGTAAAATATTATCTAGGCTCATTTATTTATACATGTAAAACACAATGCATATTTGTTACTCCACTTCATTTTCGCTCAAATTTAGCTTGCACATGTACTTGCACATTGCTTTCTGTTTGTTTTCGAGTCAAGTTTTCCTTTGCAAAGCAGATCGAGTTTGTTTGCAAAATGCTGGATTTGCTTGTTTAATTATAGCAAAATTAACTCCATAGTTTTGCCGCACCCGCTCACATTTTTCATTTAAAATACAAAGATTTTGTATTTTAATCTTTAATCTTACTTTATCCTAGGCTAAAAGAATTCAGACACTGAGTAAGCCAGAAGGGCTGGCACTTTTGTACATTGTGTTTAATAATCATTCGCAACTTAGAAAACAACAGCTCTAGTAGTATAATATGATTTATCTTGAACTTTGTCATGGAAACTAAACCTTAATTAAACAATTTAATAATCAATTAAAAAGGAATTTATATGATATTACGCTGTGCCCACATTGGACCAGCGGTTTGGAAAAAGAATGGATGAATAATTCTACTGCAGGCGCTATCTTCTGTCGAGACGCAGGAATTCATTCAACCCTCACAGTGCATTTTGGGTATTCTCTAGCTGTTGAGTGAACATTGGTTGTACACTCGTTATTGCGGTGCATTGTGGGATTGAATGAGTGCACTCGATAATGTCCACAATGGCTGCTAACACCACTACAAATGGCTGTCCCCTTAAGCATTGCCCAATTTAAGGGTATTTTGGATACAGCCCTCGTCACTGTTTATTGGTATGGGTACTTTTGTTACAGCCTTATAATTTGAGAATCAAACAAATTAAAGAGGCTGACAATGTGTGGTCCTCTACTGTACTGTTAGAGTTTTATGCTATTTTATGTACAGCACTTTTGTGCGGATGTTAGGTGGGGCTGCTGATAACCTGCAGGTCTACACTACAGTTTTGAAATTCTGTTTCTTTTTAGCATCCATACATTTTCCTATATTCAAGTTATGTGTATGTTTCACACAATATGGTAATGTCACTATATTGGGTTTGATGCAGGGTGAAAGCGACTCATCTAATGAAATGTTACAACAGTTTAGTGCTCTTACTATAAAATTAAAATGAGAACTGAAGGGCTTTTCACACTACACATAATCACTAATTATTTGGTGTTCTAAACCAAATAAGAAAACCCGTGGTTTTAACCACGGGAGATGAGCAGGATTAATTGTTAATCCTGGGTACAGTATGAGCAGTGTAAAACATGATAACCCAGGAAAACACTAGATTGGTTTAAAGTATTTTAAAGAGCAGCATAATAAATAGTATTAAATTTAACAAGTGCCATAGCACAGTCTTATAATCTCTCAAACCACTTGAACTCTCCCTAAAAATGGTACTTGTGTGGAAACTGGATTATCCTAGAGGCTTGTCTGGACAAATTGCCATATAAATGTTTTTTTTTTTTTTTTTACAATACATTAATTTAAAACCCTTGGCACAAAAGTCATATAACTTATAGTTTAAGCCAACTGCTATAGTGTGTCTAAATTGCTTTAAACAGTATACCTTTGTATCCCCTTCACAAAAAGCAAAGGACTGAAAAAGGTCACAGTTTTTCTAGGAATTTATTATATAAAGTCTGCTTTATGATCTGAACCTTTAAAATCGGGGGAAAAAAGTTACGGGCAGGTTCAGCTTATGACAAGAGTGGGAACCCCAAACCGTTACTACTGTTGGCTCTTGTGACTCATAGAGAGATAGTATGACAAACTATAGTAAACTTGAAATGGGAACTAAAACCAAAATTAGCCAATATTTTATTCTGCTCTATTAAAAGTATTACAGGACTTTTGGGATGCTTACTTGCAACAAACTATCTATAGTACAAATCATGTTCTAGAATTTATAACTAAAGTAGCATCCATAATATATAGCATAAATGATGCAGGATACGTTTGATTTAATGGACATGCCCCTGATTTCACAAATGTAGGCCTAGTTCAAGACTAAAATGCATGGGGGAACTGTTTTACTAAAATATGTCAGTACCAATGTTTTTAGGCACTTTTATAAAAGCTACTAAAATGTCCAAATTGAACTATAGCATAATCCTGGCTTAATCTAAGTCATGTCTGAAGCCAGGCCTGTGTTGTTGAAGGCAAAAAAGGATACGGGTTACTAAACATCCTTTTAAGGTCAACTTTTTCTTTGCAGTATGGACACGTCTGCTTCTTGCCCACAATGCACCAGCCACGTATGCAAAACTCATGGAATCTGGGTAAATAGGTTTAGGAAATTTGTGCATCATAGTCACTGCTGGAAAGGAAAAAAATTAGCAAAAGATGCTATTACAAAAGTTAGAAACATTCACTGATGCAACAGAAGGAAACATGATGCATTTAGAACCAGAGGTGTAAAACTGTTGAACAGGATGAGGATGTATACATTTTTTCTTATTTTGTTTAAAAATATTTTTTTTTTCATTTAGTACTGCCCTTCAGAAGCTACAGAAGTTGCCTGTTTCCAGATGACAAAATAATAACAATTTACCCTGATCTTCAAATTCAAATTTTGCAACCCCCACATGCATCATGTTACCTTCTGGAGCATCGCGTACACTTTGAACCTTTTGTAATAGTCTCTCAGTTGTCCTCAGTGTGAAAAGATGGATCTCAAAAACCATTGCAGGAAATGAAAAAAACAAAAAAAAAAAACAGCCGCAGATCATCCAGGTCACGATACAGTATTAAGAAATGTATTGTAAGAAGTACATATAAACTTTTGAAAGGAGTAATTTTTATACATTTTAATTATTTTGTCCTGTGGACCAATGTTGACTAGTGTGGTTTACACGCACCTTGCAGAATCTGCAAAACAATTATTTTAACAAAATAAGTGGGACCTGAATAAGATATTTTACTTAAGTCAGCATCTTTTAAATTTTTACTTAAAAGATGTTGACTATGGTCCCACTTATTTTGTTAAAATAAATAACATTTTGCTACTTTTGAAGTGGGCCAAAAAAAAAAAAAAAAAGTTAATCAAAGTTGTCCTAAGACTAAAACTGTTGACTACTGTATAAATATATATGACAATGGTGACAGTTCAAAAATGTGAAAAACTTCTTGCTGAAATTCAACCTTGTATATTTAAGCTGTGAATATTTCAAAACAACGAATATTTCAATTCAAAATATTTCACACACTTTCATTATTGAAAATTCAATAACCCATATTCAGGTTTCAGATATCACTTCCAAAATATTCAGTCTGTTTAAATTCCTTTAATAAATTCCTAAAATAACCTTTAATATTCTATGTGTAAATTTCGGTCCATTTTATTTTGTTTTACAAATTTGCTTCCACAAATACAGCTGTTCAAATTCGGCAGAAAAATCAAAAATGCACATCCTGGAACAGCAGGAAAAGCAGTAGAGTACCGATGTATAATCCCCATCTACTGTTAGTCGGCTCCCCAGCAGATGGTGCAAGTGAGTGTTGAAGTCCAGAGACGTTAGAGTAAGTTATTCATTCACAATGGTCTATGTGCACAACTGTAGTTTCGAACTTCCGCTTTTGTCAGAAGTTGGCATATCAGTTTCCGGTCTACGACTGGTCATCCGCATCCAATAATAAACAAAGAAGATGAGTGCTGCTGTTGTAAGAAAAAAAAGAGTTCTTAAACACATCTAAGTTTCTTAGAACTGTAGTGGATCTAACCTCCGTTTCGGCTGCTTTTGTCAATTTCAAGTTTTAATTTAAATTATTTGTGATTTTAATATAGGAAATATTTGACCACTTGCTTGAGCAACTTGTAATGCATGGAGTAACTTACATTGTTTAAATTGTGTTTAAACGTGCATACTAAGAATCGCAATGCTGACACAACTTTTTGTTTTTAAAAATAAGTTGCAGCATAACTTCTGGACTTTAAATAAAAATAATAAGTATGTTTGTTGTACAGCCGCGGATCAGTTATTCACTGTGTAAAACGCATCATAATAGCCTATGTGAACGCACTAACAGAACGCTCCTGCACCGCAACACACACTGCAAACGGGTGTGAAACGGACGTTAGATCCACTACAGTTCTAAGAAACTTAGATGTGTTTAAGAACTCTTTTTTTCGTACAACAGCAGCACTCATCTTCTTTGTTTATTAGTGGATGCGGATGACCAGTCGTAGACCGGAAACTGATACGCCAACTTCTGACAAAAGCGGAAGTTCGAAACTACGGTTGTGCACATAGCCTATAATGGACTTACAGAAATGGAGCAAGCGGTAAGTGTATGTGATTATTATCAGGGCCATTATACACTCACCTAAAGGATTATTGGGAACATCTGTTCAATTTCTCATTAATGCAATTATCTAAATCAACCAATCACAAGGCTTCAATGCATTTAGGGGTGTGGTCCTGGTCAAGACAATCTCCTAAACTCCAAACTGAATGTCAAAATGGGAAAGAAAGGTGATAAGCAATTTTAAGCGTGGCATGGTTGTTGGTGCCAGACCGGCCAGCCTGAGTATTTCACAATCTGCTCAGTTAATGGGATTTTCATGCACAACCATTTCTAGGGTTTACAAAGAATGGTGTGAAAAGGGAAAAACACCCTGTATGCGGCAGTCCTGTGGGCGAAAATGTCTTCTTGTTGCTAGAGGTCAGAGGAGAATGGGCAGACTGATTCAAGCTGATAGAAGAGCAACTTTGACTAAAATAACCACTCGTTACAACCGAGGTATGCAGCAAAGCATTTGTGAAGCCACGACACGCACAACCTTGAGGTGGATGGGCTAGAACAGCAGAAGACCCTGCCAGGTACCACTCATCTCCACTACAAACAGGAAAAAGAGGCTACAATTTGCAAAAGCTCACCAAAATTGGACAGTTGAAGACTGGAAAAAGGTTGCCTGGTCTGATGAGTCTCGATTTCTGTTGAGACATTCAGATGGTAGAGTCAGAATTTGGCGTAAACAGAATTACAACATGGATCCATCATGCCTTGTTACCAGTGTGCAGGCTGGTGGTGGTGGTTTAATGGTGTGGGGGATGTTTTCTTGGCACACTTTAGGCCCCTTAGTGCCAATTGGGCATCGTTTAAATGCCACGGCCTACCTGAGCATTGTTTCTGACCATGTCCATACCTTTATGGCCATCATTTATGGCCACCATCCTCTGATGGCTACTTCCAGCAGGATAATGCACCACGTCACAAAGCTCAAATCATTTCAAATTGGTTTCTTGAACATGACAATGAGTTCACTGTACTAAAATAACCCCCACAGTCACCAGATCTCAACCCAATAGACAAAATATAAACATCTTTGGGATGTGGTGGAACGGGAGCTTCGTGCCATGGATGTGCATCCCACAAATCTCCATCAACTGCAAGATGCTATCCTATCAATAATATTTCTAAAGAATGCTTTCAGCACCTTGTTGAATCAATGCCACATAGAATTAAGGCAGTTCTGAAGGCGAAAGGGGGTCAAAGACAGTATTATTATGGTGATCCTAATAATCATTTAGGTGAGTGTATATGCAGAAAAGCTGACAAAGACACAAAAACTGTGTTGTTATAAAAACTGTGTTAAAGGGTTAGTTCACCCAAAAATGAAAATTAAGTCATTAATTACTCACCCCCATGCTGTACCAACCCCGTAAGACCTTCGTTCATCTTCGGAACACAAATAAAGATATTTTTGATTGAATCTGAGAGCTGGATCACTTTTCCATAGACAGCCTGAGGGACTGCCTCTTGACGGCCCAGAAAGTCATTAAAAGAAAAGGTTTAAATATTCCATGTGCCTACAGTGGCTCAACTATAACTTTATCAAGCGACGAGACTACTTTTTGTGCGAAAAAAAAACGTAAATAACGACTTTATTCGACTTTCCATTACTTCCTTATGGGCGCATGCGCGAGAACTGAGACGAGACTGTTCTTCTTCGACTACTTTTTGTTACCGGCTGCTCACCGCTTAGGAGTTTTACCGCCCCCTACCGTATAAGATGACGTACTGCTTGTAAACAGAACGTTTTGCGCCTCCGGCTATATCAGTACGTCATCTTATACGGTAGGGGGCGGTAAAACTCCTAAGCGGTGAGCAGCCGGTAACAAAAAGTAGTCGAAGAAGAACGGTCTCGTCTCAGTTCTCGCGCATGCGCCCATAAGGAAGTAATGGAAAGTCGAATAAAGTCGTTATTTACGTTTTTTTTTCGCACAAAAAGTAGTCTCGTCGCTTGATAAAGTTATAGTTGAGCCACTGTAGGCACATGGAATATTTAAACCTTTTCTTTTAATGACTTTCTGGGCCGTCAAGAGGCAGTCCCTCAGGCTGTCTATGGAAAAGTGATCCAGCTCTCAGATTCAATCAAAAATATCTTTATTTGTGTTCCGAAGATGAACGAAGGTCTTACGGGGTTGGTACAGCATGGGGGTGAGTAATTAATGACTTAATTTTCATTTTTGGGTGAACTAACCCTTTAATATTTGGATCATTCAATATGATTAACTTGATGTAGCTAAATTAATATTACAATAAATAAATCAGTTCATCCAGTGAACACTTGATTATTCATTAATCCTAAGAAAAGGGTATTTTTCATGGCCACAGAAAAATAATTATTTCTTAACATGTTCAGCACAAAGAGCATGTAACAATCATGCCATTGAACTTTTGAGAAATTGATTTCTTCTGAATGAAAATTACACGACAAACTTGCATGGTTAGTTCGACTCCGCCATAGTTGAGGAAGTTTCACATGACTTGATGTGTTGGGCGGATGAGGTTTTTTGTATCCATATCTTACCTTAAAACATTTAAGCTCCATACAGAGAACTCTGGTGCCCCGGGAACCTCTGATGTAGGCTATACTTTTGAAATAGGCAAGCAGATACTGGCATAAAGTTGGTTTGATATTTGCAAATTTAGGGACCTTATATTAACCCCTAGAGGTCGGCAAACATTTGTAAATTTGTACTTTTAAATTATCTTATTTAATGCGAAAATAAATATTCTCTGTTTATGTAATCTATATAAAAAGATAGAGATGTCAGCTGTGCTCATTATCATTCTCACAGCTCATTATTTTCCTAATGTTACACGCCCATGGAGAGCACGCTCAATTCAAACACAAATGATCTGAAGCAACACATTGAGACTGTAAACGCCCACATAAACTCGGTAAACACATTATATTTAGTCAGATACTCAGATTAATGTACTGCAGAGTCTTCAGAGGCTGTATTAATCCTCAGAACAAATGCTGGT